CCTGGCCCTGCACTCAGAAATCACTCCTGGTGGTGCTCAGGGGATCCTTTGGGATGCTGGGAATGAACCCGGGTTGGCCGCGTGCAAGGCAAACGCCCTCCCTGCTGTGCTCTCGCTCCAGCCCCTGACTCACTCATCTGAACGAAGTCCCACAGCAACCCGCCCGTATTCCCCTCAGTCCTGTCAGCCCAGGCAACCTCCGCAACTGTCCCTCCTGTCTATTCACGAATAAATGGCTTCATAGGACCCCCCCCCCACACACACACACACACGCACCCTCTCATCCTCCACTGTGATTCCAGTCTGGCAGAGTCAAAGCAAAGTGGATTTGGGCAGCTAGGGAAGGGGGAGGGGGGCCACGCAATGCAAGCTGAGGACACAGTGAACGTCTCTGGAGGGCCCCTGCCACCTGAAGCCGGTTACCTCTGCAGACCCTCTACCCCCTCCCTGGTCTCTGGTTGAAGTTGGGGTTTGCTGATACCGGCCAAAAATCTAAGCCCTCCCCAGAGGCTGCAGGGAGACGGGACAGGGCGCCCAGGCCACGGTCCAGGGGCAGCATTCCAGGGACAGAGTGCAGGTGGCACTGCGTTTGAGCTCACCCCTTCCCCGGGCCAAGACAGGGACAGGGTGAGATGAGAAGAGCCAAAGCAGGCCCGGGGGGCTGGCGGGGGGGCAGCGGTGGGCGGAAATAAAAGAGTCTTTCAGGCTGCAGCTCCGTCCCTCTCGCACTCACCCCGCAAAGTCCCTTCCTTTCTCTCGCTCCCCTGTCACACTGCCTTTATCTAAGTCCACAGTTCTGAAAGGGCATATCGACAGCTGGCGCCTTATCTGCGGCAGGGGACCTTCTCCTCTGGGCGCCTCCAAGATAAGGCGTCTTATCGGACCCCATGTCAGGGCGAGTGCCAAAGCAGTCTGATCAGGGCGGTTTGCAGTGTGTCCCCCCCTTTATTATTATTATTATTATCATTATTATCAAAGTCACAAAGAGCTGGGACTTATAAACAGCCCGATTTGCAGATTGGGTTTCAGAATGAGCCGCGTTCCCGGGATCGTCTGAGCCCATGAGACCATCGGGGCGGGGACCGATGCTGGCTTTCTGCGGAGGGGGTGACGGCAGGCAGAAAGGGACAAGCTGAAGTCACGGGGCAAAGCCTGGGTGCTGGGGCTGGAGCGATAGCACAGCGGGAAGGGCGTTTGCCTTGCACGCGGCTGACCCGGGTTCGATTCCCAGCATCCCATATGGTCCCCCGAGCACCGCCAGGAGTAACTCCTGAGTGCAGAGCCAGGAGGAACCCCTGTGCGACGCCAGGTGTGACCCAAAGAAAAAAACAGCCTGGGCGCTGTGGGCACTGACTCCGGCTCCGGCCGGCCTCTCTGGGCCTCGGTCATTTCCCTCGACAATAACCAATTCACTGGTTCCAGCTGTCACTCGGCACTTGTTCATGAAGCTCCCAACTGGGTCTTGGGGAGGGCGGTTGGTTCGTGCCCCTGAGAAGCCCGGGGTCCGGGAAGAGAGAGATGAAAATTGGCAGTTCTCCCTCAGGGAGGTTCGGGGCCCTCACGGGGTTGCCCAGGGGCCAGCAGGGCCCCCATGTGGGTTAAGAGTGGTGCTGGGGACAGGGGGCCACGCAGGGGCCAAGGTGGTTCAGGGGGCAGGAGGCGGGGGGAGCAGGGAGGGTCGTGGCCCTGGATCAGGGCCAGCCCTGTTCCAAGGCCCTGGCGGAAGCTTCGGCCGGGGAAAGGACTCGACCTTGTCTCGCTGTGACTGATGGGGACAATGCGGGCACTGAGCGGGGGCCCACAACCCCCCTCTCCTGTGCAGCTGACCCCTCCGAAAAGTCCCTCCTCCCCCAACTGTCCCTGCCCGCTGGGCCTCCAGGAAGGAGGGGTCAAAGGATCTGCAGGGCTGCAATGAGGCAGAGCTGTGGCCAAAATGTGCGTCCAGAGAGAGAGAGTGTGTGTGCGCAGCGGGGAGGGCGCTGGCCTTGCATGTGGCCAACCCAAGGTTCGATCCCCGCCACCACCCGGGGTCCTCCCTAGCCCTTCCAGGAGTGATCCCTGAGTGTAGAGCCAGGTGTGGTCTCCCCCACAAAAAAATCATGGGATCCCCCCACCTGCCAGGGGACTTCTTGGCTCCCAGGTGTGCCTGGTGCCTGCAGCAAACACAGTGCTTGACAGTGGGTGGCATGTGATGGGACAGTGTCCAGAGTGACCGGCTTGCCCCTCCCCCTGAGGCTGCAGACCCCACAGACCCCTTTGCTCTTCTCATCTGTGAGACTTGGGGGTGCTGGAGAGGGGCTGGCCTAGCAGGACTCTGGAGGACAGGATCTAAGTCCCCTTAAGAGGTTAAGGGGGGGGCTGGAGCGATAGCCCCTCCCCCCATAGCAGGCTCGGGGAGAGTCACTTCTCTGTCCCTCTCCTCTGTGATTCCCCATCACAGGTGGGTGCAGTTCCAGGCAGGAGTGGTGGGGGAAGGGGGGTCCTTCTGTTGGGGGTGGCTAAAGGTCTTTGCCTTCTTCCAGACGCACCCGCCATCCTGCATGTCCCCCAGAGCAGCGGGGGGTGCACAGGACTGGGTCACGTGATGCGGCAAGAACGGGGGCAGGGTGGGGGACACACACAGGGCCCCAGTGCAGAAGAAGCAGAGTTGCAAGTCTGGGCACGTGGACCCTCTCCCCCAGCACAGTGGGTGATGACCCCGACCCTCAGCAGACCTGGGGTCGGTCCCGACGGGGCCCGAGGGACCTGCTCCGGTGGCCGCTCGTGTCCCCTGAGTCGCAGTCAAGGGCTTCTGGCCCGTAATGAGCGCTGGCTGTGCCCGTTCCGAATGGTGTCACTTCTGCCCGACGGCTAACGGTGCGCTTTAAAATCGCCAGAAACCAAAGCAGGGAAGCGGATGCTGCATATTTATTTTTCTGTTGTTTTCTTTATTGCATCGCTGTGTTAAGGCTGGAGAATGGAGGTGGGGGGGGCCGAGAACCCCGCCCCTCCCCCACTCGGCCCCCACTTCTCTCTCTCTCTCTCTCTCTCTCTTCCTCTCTCTCTCCCTCTCTCTCTCTTTGGAGACAGTAATAGGAGAAAATTGGTTTTGAAACTGAATAAAAGTCCCTTTCAGAGTAAATCATTTCTTTCAGGCTACCTTTGCTGAGAGTAAAATGGAGCATAATGAAAGGTGGTTAGTGATTGTCTTTCATTTGCCGAGCGCGGCCGGGACAGACGCGAGGCTGCCGCTGTCTCGGGAAATACAAGATTGGAATAATTGCGCGGTAACAAGGAGCTTGTTGTGAAATTAGTATCTTAAGAAAGTAGTGAAAAAAGGCTTTTCCTCATGAATACTTCATTATTAGAAGCAAGCGGCAGAATTCAGGGTTCCAGACACCTGTTTAGTATTAAATAACTTCCCTTTCTTCTACTTCAACACTCTCCCCCCTCCTTTTTTTTTTTTCCTTTTTTTTTGAAGCCAGCGTGAGGATGGAGTGAGGATGGATTTGACCCTTCCCGGCTGCCCACTGCTGGGGGTGGGGGAGGGGCCCCCTGTGCCCGGGCTTGGGGGGGGGCGGGGGGGAACGTCAGGGTCTTCTGGACAGAACTGACTCCCAGGCCTGCCAGGAAGCAGGGAAGGGAGGACCCCAGCTAGGAACCCCCCCACCCCCCCAACGAGCAAGGCCTCCAGGGGAAGTGGGTTTTCAGATGTGGGCCGGCTGGCTTGGGTGAGCGAGCCAATGGGAACCCGTCTAGGGCTGAGCTGCGACCCCTAGGGCCCGCCCCGGCTCCTCCTGCTGGGGTGGGGGGCTCATCTTGGTGGTGGCAGGGAGCAGCCCGTGCAGGAAGCTCTGGCATCCCTTGGAAGCTGGGATCAGGGTGCAGAGGCCAAGGTCAGGCCCAGCGTGGGTCAGGGTGAGGGTACCCCACTTTCTTTCTCCGAGAAATGCCAGCCTGGACATCTCCTTTCCTGGGGGGGACGTCAGGGGAATGGGGGGCTTTGGGGTACCCGGCAGGAGGCCGTGCTACACTTTCAGAGACTGGAGTGATAGTACAGCAGGCAGAGCAGTTGCCTTGCACACGGCCGACCCGGGTTCGATTCCCAGCACCCCATATGGTCCCCTGAGCACCGCCAGGAGTGACTCCTGAGTGCAGAGCCAGGAGAAACCCCAGAGCATCACCGGGTGTGACCCAAAAAGCAAAATAAAAAAAAGAGAATGGACCACAGGGGGCTTGGGTGATTCTGCAGCAAGCAGTGTGCTGGCCTGGCACGCGCCGACCCTGGTTCTGTGTCCAGCACCCCACATGGACCTTCAAGCCCCACCACGAGTGATTCCTGAGCACAGAGTCAGGAGTCAGCCCTGAGTACTGCCGGGTGTGACCCAGTAAATAATGAATCGATGAAACTGAACGACCATTATCACTCACTCGCCCTTCTGGATTGCCCCCGTGCTGGCTCCGGGGATGGCCCCCTGGGGTCTGTCTGTGTCTTGGTCTGCTGAGGGCCGGTGGCAGCCGCAAAGGCAGCACATGTGTGAAGGGCCACGGACGCAGTTTCTTTTTGTTGTTGTTCGTTTTGGGGCCACCCTGGGTGGTGCTCTGTGCTTACTGCTGGTGGTGCTCAGGGGACCTTGTGCAGTGATACTGGGGATCGAACCCGGGTTAGCCACGTGCGAGGCAAGCACCCTACCCACTGAGCTATCTCTCCGGCCCCCAAGAGGGAGACGCTCCTGTGGGGGCGAGAGTCTCACGGTCTGTGCCAGGGACACAGCCCTGTGAAGGGACTGGGCCACCGCGGGGAGCAGGGCGTGGCCTGTCCAGCAACCTGGGTGCCGAGATTCTCCCTCTCCCTGGGGGCCTGGAGGCGCCTCTTGCTGTCCTGCGTCTCTGGCCATGACACGTCGGGGCTCGAGGGGGCCGTCGGGGTGGGGATGGTAGTGCCGGTGAGGATGCCAGCCCGGGGTGGGGGCCCTGCTCGTGGCGTGCTCGTGACCAGTCCTCCTCGTTCCCCCCGACAGGAGCCCTGCCACAGAGCGCGCCTGCCGCCCCGTCCTGCCCAGCCATGCTGGCCTGTCTGCAGAGGACCCAGAACCCCGCGGGCCAGCACCTGACGTGCCCGAGCAAGAGCCTGGAGCTGCGCAAGTGTGAGTCCCCACGCCCGCCCACCTCCGGGCCTCAGCCCTGCCCTGACCCGCTCGCCTCACCCCTGCTGGCTGCCTCTTCCAGGGGGCGGCTCCCAGCCAGCCGGTACCAATTCTGACCTCTCCCACCAGTCCCCCCAGACCGTGCCCCTCCCCCTCCCCGCCACCAGGGACCACCGGGGCCGTCCCCACAGCACTCGGGAGCCTCCCAGGTCATACCTGGCAGAGTCTGGGAGGCCACGTGGTGCCGGGGACCCAACCCCGGGCTGTCCCAAGCCCAGGACTCTCTCCCCAGCCCTGTGGTTTATTTATTTATTTTTAAATAAGTGATCTCAGGTAGGTTTTATTTTAATTTAATCTGGTATAAATTATGAAGTATGGATCTGTGTGAGACTGGTTTTTTTGGTGTTTTTGTGGGTTTTTTTTTTTTGGCTTTTAGGGTCACACCTGGCGATGCTCAGGGGTTCCTCCGGGCTCTGCGCTCAGGAGTTACTCCTGGAGGTGCTTGGGGGACCCTATGGGATGCTGGGAATTGAACCCGGGTCAGCTGCGTGCAAGGCAAACGCCCTCCCCGCTATGCTATTGCTCTGGCCGAGACTATTTATTTATTTATTTTAAATTGTTTTATTAATTAATTTATTTTGAATACCCATCCCTTCACCAGTGCCCATTTCCCACCACCACGGATCCCAGTATCCCTCCCACCCCCCATCACCATCACCCCCATCCCACCCTGCCTCTGTGGCAGGGCATTCCCTTTTGTTCTCTCTCTCCTATTGGGTGTTGTGGTTTGTAAGAGTTAAGCCTGATTTTCAGCGATAAACGTTGGAGGATTTACTTTCCATTGATCACTTTGTATGTAAAGAGATGTCGTGCTGCCGCTTATGCGGCCGCATGGTTTGGAATAAAAGTCCTGGTTCCCGCATGCCCGAGCTATGCTTGTAGAGGCTCATGGTCACCGGGGTTCCATCTGGAGGAGGCGGGATGCGGCACCTACCCCATCTGGGACTTCCTGGTGATCTGGCCGAGACTTTTTAATTATAAAATATTTTTACAAAACTTCATGGCTTTATTGAAATATAATTTGCATCCTCCTACGGTCCATGGTTTGTATGGGACCCAGCGATCTGTAGTTTACTTATAGAATTTCACCTTCATGACCAGGTGGTTATAGAATATTCCAGAACATTTTAATTACCTCCGGAAGAACCCCCATGTCCAAGGGCAGCCATTCCCTTAGTCCTCTGCCCATGTCGTTCCCTTTCAGCGCCTCTCTTCTGTATGTAGATCATAGACTGCCGTCTTCTGCGACTGACGTCTTTCATTCAGTCGTCACATTCCCAAGCAATAGTGCAGGAGGTGGACTAGAGTTGGCGGCCTTGCACAACTGACCCAGATTCGATCCCAGGCCTCCCCGAAGGTCTCCTGAGCCCACTAGGTGTGATCTCTTGAGTGCAGAGCCAGGCATAAAAAAGCCCTGGGTACTGCCGGGTGTGGTACAAAAACAAAACAAACCGGAACAAAACATTAACGAAGTTCATCCTTTGTGAGCACCTGTCTGTTTGTTCTGGAGTCTTTGATGTCGTATTTCATTTTTCGGTTTCCTGATGAGTTTGCTAAACGACATCCAAAAACCTATTTGATTTCCCCGCCCCTCCCCCATCTTTCTTGATTGGGCTAGTTAGCTGATGAGGTTATGTATTTCCTTTTCCCCAAAATTCATCTTTGGGGTTTATTTAATAGTGATTATCCTTTGAAGATTCATTAATTTATGCTTCTGTCTTGGTGAAAATCTTCCTCCTGTTTTTCTTGTTTTTTTTTTAATTTCTTGAGTTAGAGGCTTAAATCTTTCCACTGACAAGAAACCAAGGAAAAACGAAGGTGATTCACTCCCTGAGCACTGTTTTCGCTGCATCCTAGAGGTTCTGATCTATGTATAGAATTTTATTGCCGTTATTTTCTACATAGTTGATAATTTAGATGTTGATTTCTTCTAAGACTTAACAGAGTTCCCTCCATTCACCCAGGTAGCCAGCATTTTTTTTTTGAATTTTATTTTTTCTGGTTGATTCTATTATGAGCAGAGTATCTTGTCTTTCTGATTTATTTGAACCTCAGTGAAGTTTTCTTGGTCATATACTCTATAGTGATTTTGTGAGTTTGATGTTCAAGGGACTTGGGAAGCAGAGCCCGTGTGGCAATTTTGGAAGTTTGGGCTGGAGCCATAGCCCAGTGGGTAGGGCTTTTACCTTGCACACGGCCGACCCGACCCAGGTTCGATTCCTCCGTCCCTCTCAGAGAGCCCGGCAAGCTACCGAGAGTATCCCGCCCGCACGGCAGAGCCTGGCAAGCTCCCCGTGGCGTATTCCATATGCCAAAAACAGTAACAACAAGACTCACGATGGAGACATTACTGGTGCCCGCTCGAGCAAGTCGATGAACAGCGGGAGGACAGTGCTACAGTGTGTGCGGTGTCTACCAGTTCGACCTACCCCATTAATTCTGCGGGGTGGTCTACATCTGTACTCACTTGTCACAGACAGAGGGAGCTAACACCTCCTCCTGGTGTGTTCCAGTCTGTTTCTTTTTATGGTACTTACAGCGCTGACCATGGCAGTGGTGACACGGCGCTATTTGGCACACAGATTCGTACCTGCTCTCGGCATGGCACATGATTTCCCACTTCGAGGCGATTAATGTTTTGGTGTATTCTGGATTCACTTCTATCTGTGAATCTGGTAACCTTGGCTTTTTTAATTCGCCTTTTTCCCCCCTCGAAACCTTTGTCAGTCATTCCGTGCCAGCCCTTCTGAATGATGCCGTTTCGATGGGACTCACGGACTCTGGAATTGGACAGAGTTTCGTGATCCAATCTGGAGGCTCTTTAAAAAAGACTTTAAGAGAAGAGTTCGTCCGGCTCGTTTGCAGTTACTGATGCAAGAGCTGTCTGGCCTTAGTTCAGTTGTGCTGTAATCATGTTTAAAACGTCTTTTTCTATGGGATCTGTGTTGGCTGCTTTTGTTTCCTGTTCCTGCTAATTATGAGGCGGGCTGGAGTAAGAGCACAGGAGGTAGGGCGTTTGCCTTGCACACAGCTGACCCGGGTTCGATTCCTCTGCCCCCTCTCAGCCCGGCAAGCTACCGAGAGTATCCCATCCGCATGGCAGAGCCTGGCAAGCTCGCCGTGGCGTATTTGACGTGCCAAAAACAGTAACAAGTCTCCCAGTGGAGACATTACTGGTGCCCGCTCGAGCAAATCAGTGAACAATGGGAGGACAGTGCTACAGCGCAGTGCTGAGGAAGGTGCGTCTTTATCTTCCAGGAGTGCAAACTTTCAGGAGTACCTTGATTCTGGTCGGGGTGAGGGACCCACAGTGCTGAAGCACACACAGGTGGGGGCCTTAGTTTGCACCCCGGCATTTCATGGTTCCCTGTGTACTGTCAGTGCATCCTCCTGCACCCCCAAATATATATATATTCATAGATGTCTTGGTTCTTGTTTGGGGGCCACACCTCGTAGTGCTTAAGAGCTACTCCTGGCTCAGTGCTCAGGGGTTGCTCCTAGCGGTGTTTGGAGAACCTCGAGGTACCGGGCATGGGACCTGGATCTCTCACGTGCCAGGAATGCACCCGGACTGCCCAGTCCCTGGTTCTCTTACTTCACTGCAGCAGTACGGAGCAACAGTACAGAACCTTGGGGGCTGGAGAGAGTGCGGCGAGGAGGGTGTTTGCCTTGTATGCGGCCAACCCGAGTTCGATCCCATATGGTCCCCCGAACACCACCAAGAGTGATTCCTGAAGGGTTACTCCATGGCGTAGAGGCCAGCCGGGCATTCTAGGGGAAAGGGCAGCTCAGATAGAGAAGGGAGCACCAAATAAAGGGTGTTGGGAGGATCCTCCCAGGATGGGAGAAGCATGCTGAAAGTAGACTATAGACCGAAAATGATTGCCACTCAGTTCCTCTTTTGCAAACCACAACACCCAAAAGGAGAGAGAGAGCAGAGGGGAATGCCCTGCCACAGAGGCAGGGTGGGATGGGGGGATGGGGGTGGGAGGGATACTGGGACCCGTGGTGGTGGGAAATGGGCACTGGTGGAGGGATGGGTACTTGATTATTGTATAATCGAAACCCAAGCACAAAAATTTGTAAGTCTACAACTGTACCTCATGGTGTCTCACTAATAAAAAAAAAAAAAGTGATTCCTGAGTGCAGAGCCAGGAGTAAGCCCTGAGCATCACCTGATGTGGCCCAAAAAGAAACAAAAACAAAACAAGACAAAAAACAACAACAACAAAAAAAAAAAAAACAGTGTGGGACCAAATGACAGACATTTTTTTTCTCTACAGCATTTTTTTGCACTTCCTGTTGTACTTGTAAACATCTGTGACCCGGCATCAGTTTTAAATGACACTTTTGATCCCCGCTATTAAGGATGGGAGGCCGGGAGTGTGCGTACGTTACCGGGGCCCCCCCGCCCCGTCTGGGATTCCCAGGGCCATCGCTCTGCTGCCACACCTGGTTCCAGCACCAGATGGACACGTCCAGGCTCGGCCTCCCGGCCCCCCAGGCCCAGTGCCCACCACCGGCTCCTGGGCCTTGGTTGTCTGTCTTCTGGAATTGGCCGTCCGGGAGGGGCCCTGGGCCTCATGGGCTCGGGCCTCTGGAGTCCCTCGGGCTCAGAATGTTCGGCCGCCTGTCCCGCGTGACAAGCAGCTCACGCCTGGGTCCCTCGGTCCTCAGTTTGGGGGCTTGGGGGGGATCTTGTTCTTTCCTGGGCCCCGGGGAAACTGCAGCCTGAGCTTAACCTCCTTTGAGTCTCACTTCCTGTTCATCTTTCCCTGGCTTGCAAGTCCGGCTTTGTGGGTCTGGGGCTTCGCTGACTGTGCCCGGCGCTGGCACTGAGCCCCAAGGCCACAGGTTCAAGGTCCTCTGGCCACGGTGCCCTTTCGGGGTGACCCCAGCGCTGTTTCCTCACACACCCTCTGGCCTCACTTTCCCAGCCT